TGTCTTGGGAGCTTTAAACCAACCTTTTTGGAGGACACCTGATTGGGGAAACTGCTATCAATCATGAATGTTTGAGATCGAACTAAAAATGGTTTTTAAAATGTTATTTAGCTGACTACCTCGGACAGAGATTTTCAGATTGTTGAGGTCAAGTAAGGAAAAAAAAATACCATTCACCTGTAGGTGACCTTCACTGAACCTTCTGAGAAGACAATTAGGTTGGAAGGACCAGCCTCCGACAAAGATAAAGCACAGATAAAGTGTGTCAATTTCAGCAATTGGAGAAACAGAAAGGGGATGTTTTCCCTTCTCTTTTCAGATTTCCAGATTTTAAACTGCTTTAAGATCTTAAATTGGTTGTGAAAGAAATGATAAAGGCAACAGTTGTAAAGTTAGCTGTTAAAAAGGCCCCTTGCGTTTGTCAGTTGTTAAGCTGCACATTCTCTACTAGATACTATGCAGCAGAGACAAATTATTTGTGTGTCCAATCACACTTGGCTAATAAAGAATTCTATTCTGTTCTAATCAAGCTTCCAGCCTCCTCCCTCAATACACACACACACACACAGAGACACACACACAGAGAGAGAGAGAGAGACAGAGAGACAGAGACAGACAGAGAGAGAGAGAGACAGAGAGAGAGAGAGACAGAGAGAGACAGAGACAGAGACAGAGATGATTTCAGTCTGATAGAAAGCAAACTATCAGAAATGTTAGGCCCAACAATGGGAAATAGGAAAGGGCAGGAAAAGGTGTTAGTTTGTTATGGTGGGTAGGATACCAATCTAGAAGCTGAGAGACCATGAGTTCCAGTAGCACCATAGGCACAAAGCCAGATGGGTGACCTTGGGCCCTAGGAAGGAGGAAAGGGCTTGCCACTTTTGAAAATCTCACCAAGTAATAATGGGATTAATCAAGGATGAGTCAAGACTGCCTCAAAGGTACATGCACACACATACACATACAAAGGCAGAAAAATGTGGGGTTTTTTCCTGCATACCCTGTTTCCCTGAAAATATGACCTTCCCAAATAATAAGCCCAATCGTGCTTTTGAGCGCATGTGCTAAAATAAGCCCTTCCCCCAAAATAACCCCCCCTGGAAATATTGCAACACAGCAGTAGCCATGAGGTGACTAAGCTCGCCACCTCCTGTATCTCAAAAATAATAAGACCTCCCCAAAAATAAGGCCAAGGGCTTATTTTGGGGGTTAAAAGAAAATAAGACCCTGTCTTATTTTTGGGGAAACACAGTATGACATCAGGACTACTTTTCCCCCTTTTTTCTTTCTTCCTATCACTCTTAATGTTTCTAGGTTTTGCCTTTGAATGCCCTACTTTGCACTTAGAATCGTAGGGCTGGAAGGGGCCTTGGAGGTCTTGCTCATGGAGTAACCTTGTAAGGTTTGGACATATGAAAATGCACATGGAGAGATGATGAAGGACAGAGTTGTTGATCCCCACTCTTCCATCCAGTCAAATGAATGGATGCATGGAACTTCATTTAGGATTACTCTTCATTATGATATTGCATCATTTCCCTAGAGCAGGGGTGTCAAACTCTCGATGTCACTTTTTCATCACTTGATGTATCACAACTTTTCCCCCCTTCACTAAACCAGGGGTTGGGCATGGTTGGCTCATGATGCATCCAGCCCGTTGGCCATGAGTTTGACACCCCGGCCCTAGAGACACTGAATAACACTGGGAGTGACACAAGGAGATAGGATCCTAGCTCTCATATGCACCCCCTTTAATACATGATCACCTACAGAAGACCTGAGCAGAACAGACAGATGGATAACATGCAGAGGTGGGATTCAGCAGGTTCTAAGCAGTTCTGGAGAACCGATAGTGGAAATTTTGAATAGTTCATAGAACCGGTAAATACCACCTTTGACTGGCCCCGCCCCCATCTATTCTCTGCCTCCCGAGTCCCAGCTGATCAGGAGGAAATGGGGATTTTGCAGTTCCTTCCCCGGAATGGGGAGGGAATGGAGATTTTACAATATCCTTCCCCTGCCATGCCCATCAAGCCATGCCCACCAAGCCATTCCACGCCCATCAAGCCACACCCACAGAACCGATAGTAAAAAAAATTGAATCCCACCACTGATAACATGGTATTTGATGTATGTATAATAATTCAAGAGTTAAAAGAAAGCCAAGAATCTCAGCTTTCAAATTCTAATTCTAATTTGAAGCCCTCATTCCCAGCACTTTGATGACATAAATAGGCCAGATCTGGACCACAAATAATTTTATGAGTCTCGCAGTCCAGTTGGTATCAGGTCTAAGTGTGATCTAAGAAACATGAGATATAGTTATCTTCATGGAGTTAAGTAGCAAAACGTCTGGTCAATACGTAGATGCGAGTTTTTGTGAAAATATCATATACATCATCTTCTGTTCCATAATGGATATAAGTGAAATAGGCAATCTAGAATTTAAATTCAGTAAAAACAATTATGCAATTAATCAGCAGTATTTGGCTCTTCAATACCAAAATAGGCCAATATAAACAGGTTTCAACCAGTAATATTTTGATTATTTACTCATTTTCTGAGGAGGGGATTGCGTTTATACTGAAGAAAAGGACAAAAACTATTGACTGAACAGTCCTAACAAAACAACTTTAAAAAGAAATGGTCTTTTGCTTTTATCATATACTGTCAAGTTGGATTTTATAGGTTCATCCTAATACAGGAAGTCCTCCATTTACAAATACAGCTGAGCTCAACATTTCCGTTGCTAAGCAAAGTGTTTGTTGAGTGAATTTTGTCCCCTTTTACAACCTTTCTTGTCACAGTTGTTAAGTGAATCACTGCAGTTGTTAATTTAGTAAGATGGCCGTTAAATGAATCTGGTGCCCACCGTTGACTTTGCTTGTCATAAGGTCACAAAAAAGGATCACATGACCCCAGGACACTGCAACCGTCATAAATATGAGTCCATTGGCAAGACTCTGAGGTTTGATCTCATGATCTCTTGAGGATGTTGCAATGGGCATGTAAGTATGAAGAACAGTCGTAAGTCACCTTTTTCAGTGCTGTTGTAATTTTGGATAGTCATTAAATGAATTGTTGTATGTCAAGGACTACTTATACATTCCAATGCAAAGTAGCATGGAGTGTTTAAAATCAACTGAGAAATATATTTATCATCAAAGCATCAGAATGTCATCTAAAACAGGGATCTTCAACCCCCCGGTCGGTGGACACGCACTGGGACGCAACATGTCATAAACTGGGCCGTGCAAACAAAGACATATAGGACAATACATAATTAAAAGAGTAAAGCAACATTCATTCAACATTCGGGCGGGGATGGAATATAATCTTTAACCCCAAGCCTGACGGGATAGCCAGGTCTTGAGGGCTGTGCGGAAGGTCTGGATTGTTGGGAGCAATAGGCTGACTCCAGGGGTGAAATCTACTTACCTTCACTACCAGTTCGCAAATGTGAAAGGCGCGCTCCGGTCACATGCGCCACCTCCACACATGCACAGGACCTTCCACGCACCAACACAACTTCAAAAAAGGATGTGATGATGTCCAGACAGGTGGGCGGAGCCTGCTACCAAGCGTGCCAGCAAATGTAAGTAGAATAGTTAGCGGGGAATCCACTGTGCCATGCGATTTAGCAGGAAATCCTGCTTTCTAGCTAATATAAATTGTGTGTCACAGCTGATCATTGGAAATACTGGTTTGCCCAATCCGGTAGCATTTTTTACTACCAGTTTGGGTGAATCGGTTCAAACAGGTAGCATTTCACCCATGGCTGACTCTGTAAATCGCTTAGAGCGGGCTGTAAAGCACTGTGAAGCATTGTATATGTCTAAGTGCTATTGCTATATAAAATTAGTATGGAAAGCAAAATATTCAGATAAATTTTCAGTCTTTTTTTTAATGCCTATTTATGGTTGAAGAGTCTTAGAAAATTCCAGTAGGATCAGAATTACTGAACCAAGCAGGAGCAATGAATGGCAAAGATATGGTTAGTAATGCTGGCAATTATAATATGATAAACAGCATTTGCATTCAATAGTTAAAATTAAATAGAGAAAAAAACAAAACATGCACTTAAAATGCTTTTAAAGAGTTTAGCGTAGTACAAAACAGTGGTGGGATTCGATTTTTTTTACTACCAGTTCTGTGGGTGTGGCTTGATGGGCATGGCATGGCTTGGTGGGCGTGCTTGGTGGGCATGGCAATGGAAGGATACTGTAAAGTCTCCATTCCCATCACACTCCAGGGGAAGGTTGCTGCAAAATCCCCATTCCCTCCGGTTCAGCTGGGACTTGGGAGGCAGAAAATAGATGGGGGGCGGGGCCAGTCAGAGGTGGTGTTTACCGGTTCTCCGAACTACTCAAAATTTCCGCTACCAGTTCTCTAGAACTGGTCAGAACCTGCTGAATACCAACTCTGATACAAAAGTCTGATTGGATATGTGTATATTGCCCATAACAGCATGCATAATTAAACTTCATTCACAGTACATGTAGTCCTCGACTTTTGGGCACAATTGAGCCCCAAATTTCTGTTGTTAAATGAGACCTTTATTAAATGTGTTTTGTCCCATTTTATGACCTTTCTTGCCACGGTGCAGTGAATCACTGCAGTTGTCAAATTAGTAACACGGTCGTTAAATGAATCTGGCTTCCCTATTGACTTGGCTTGTCAGAAGGTCGCAAAGGGGCAGTCATGTGACTCTGGGACAGTGCAACGGTCATAAATATGAACCAGTTGTTGCCGAGCGTCTGAATGTTGATCCCGTGACCATGGGGATGCTGCAATGGTCATAAGTGCAAAAATGGTTTATAAGTCACTTTTTTCAGGGCCAATGTAATTTCAAACAGTCGCTACATGAGTTGTTGTAAGTCAAGGACTACTTGTAGTTTGCTGATACTGATACATTATCCTTTTTGCGGCTCTCTGCTTCCTGTAACCTAACACTTTATCTTGATTTTTCCCTCTTTTTTCTTTTCTCTCCTGCTTCCTAGAGGACTATCTGGAGGACAATGCAACATGGTGTAAGCTCTGGTATTCTTATTCTTGATTTTCATACCCATTAACATATTGCTGATTTTGCTGACAAATGACATCTAATGTTATTCGCATAGCAATCTTTTTCCCCCCCTCCTTGCAAAATAATCTGATTTATAGATTGCTTTTGAAAACTAATACTTAGGTTGAGCCTTCACATTCTTATTACTCTCTTTTTTTTAAAAATATGCTGAGTGTCGGTCATATAATTATTATGGTTCATTGCACAGTCAGCCAGATGTTTAGACTGGATCTGGCATTTTTTATCCAACTATCAAGTCTCAATGGTCGGAGCTCTGGACCTTAACCAGCAATAAGACGCCATGTGTTTTGGGGCTTACTGGATTTAATGAGCTGAACTCTGGCATTCAATGAGTTCCAAAACCAAACATAAAGTCAGTGTTGGGAGCTTCTGCCTCCCAGTGCATTTCAACCAGGCGAGCCACGCCCCTCCGCCACCGCAGTCCTCCCTCATCCCTCTCAGCTATTCATCAGCTAGGCCGATTAGATGCACTTTGCTGATCTGCGGCCCTGACGAACAGCTGATTGTCAGCTCATTCCCTGCTGATCAGATGCTTATCGCCCCCACCTAGAATACTTGTAGGTTTCTGGTCTCACAATTCCCCACCGCCCTGCTGAACAGCTGATCATCGGCTCGCTCCCTGCCAAACAGCTGATCATTGGCTCACTCCCCGCTGAACAGCTGCTTCTTGACAAATTCCAGGTTCAGGGTTTGACAGGTGGCTCCCCACTACCAGGGCCGGACACCAAACCCATAGTTTGCCATCAAGTCCTTTCCAAGGATCTGGGATAGGGAGTTGTTGTTTGAAAGGCATCGTCGCAGAAAATCTTTCATGTTTATGATGCTTATATAAGCACCATGTGAAATCACAGGTGCAAATTCTTTAGCTAGTGTTGGCTTTCATGTGCATCAAGTTGTGTCCAAGAACCAGGGAGTGTGTGAGTATCAGTGTGGTAGTGTATCTATGGATTCCCATCTGTCAATTGCAAAAGACCACACCAGCTTTTGCAATCAAAAAATGGAAATTTTGCCAATGTGCGGATTTTCTAAATGTATATACGTCTCCTGCTGTTCTTAGGGTGTAATTCAGAGGTGGGTTCCTACCGGTTCAGCCAAGTAGGTAGTAACTCGGCCGGACACACACCCAAACCGGTTCGATCCTCGGTGGTGCCAACTTGATTTTCTGTTCTGCATATGCGCAGAACAATCTTCATTGAAAAAATGATATTTTCCCCCTTTTCTAATGTTGTGCGCATGCACAGACCTTTTTAGGTGCACAAAACATTTTGCGCGCTGAACCTATAGTAATGCTGGCAGGAACCCATCCCACGTGCAATTATCAAAAAGTGGCAGCCTTCACCATGTCTAGGCAATGAAAAAAAAACCCATCTCACTGAAAGTATCCACAATCTGAAATGTTGAAGCAGAGGAAACTTAGATGCATTTACAACTCTTTGACAAACTGGCCAAATCACAGTGTAGCAGATTAATTGGTAGGTGTAATACAGGGGTGAAACATGTAACAGCATGTCAGCCTTCCATATAACTGATGGTGACTTGCTGGGATGTACTAAACCAGTGGTAGTCAACCTGGTCCCTACCATCCACTAGTGGGCGTTCCAGTTTTCATGGTGGGCGGTGGGGGTTTGCTGTAACTCTGCTTTGTAAATTTTATAAAGTTACTTCCCTACAACATATTGTTGTTACAGCCCTCTTTATATTCCTCTTTATATCTTCTTTATGTTCCAAACTTAAAGAAAAAAAATCTTAAATGGAGAGAAAAAACAATCAATCAAGCATTGTAAAACACACACACACACACACACACATTATTATCATTATTAATCATTTATTTGACTATAACTATTATCACTTCATTTTATACATAATACTCTAAGTTTAACTAAGTTTAACTTAATTTTTATTATAAACTTTCATTACATCAACCTGTATCTTTCCAGTAATAATGCAGTCTTATGTCTCTTGCCATTTATAGCATTAGTATTCTGATTACTTACTTGATAAGTCTTGTATGGACTTCACTTCGCAACTTGTTGCTCATTTCGTATCTTATGAAAACTCGAAACCCTCCATCTGCTCCTTCCATCAGCTTGTCTTTGATTATCACGGGTGCTTCTGTTAAGATTTCTCTCCTTACTTCCATCAATTTTTGTTCTGTGTTCTATATTCTCCAATCTCTTCTCAATTTTCTCTGTTACTACTAATATTTTTTCAATTTCAAACATAATCATTTGCATTGTTAAAATTTCTTTTTCTAGCACATTCATTTTAAAAAAGAAGAGTCAAAAACCAAACATAGAAAAAGCTTCTTTTTTAAAATAAAATCTCTATAAAGAATTCTAAAATGAAAAGGGGAGAATCAAGGTCTCACTGAAAACTTCCTAGGGTTGGTTAGGTTTCTTCCCACTACTTGGTATAATCCAGGTTCAATTAGATTGGCCTTGTTCATTTGGACTCAAAAATCCCTTCGTTCATTTAATACTGCTTCCATTTTTGTTAATTCCAGAATAGCTTTGTCTGCAAAGTCCCCATTTGCTTTCGGTAGGAGGAAGTAAAATTAATGTAGATGGGTACAAAGGTGTGAAGATCCACTAGAGTGCGAGATTGAGAAATCACTTTACCCCTTGGCTTAACTATCCTCTAGGACAGGGGTGACAAACTCGATTCCATTGAGGGCCACATAAGGGTGGGGGGGGCAGGGTGGCATGGCTAGAGTGGCATTTTCAGATACGATGGCCTCCTGCAACCCTCTGCCAGTGAAAACGGAGCTTGGTAGGGCTGCCTGCTGCACTTGTGAGCTTCGTTTTCATCTATGACTGCATTCTGCAACCCTCTGCCAGAGAAAACAAAGTTTAGGAGGCCCTCCTGAGCAGCCTTCCTGAGCTCCATTTTTGCTGGCAGAGGCACCATGGGCCGGTCCTTTGCTGTTTCCAGGGTGGCCCCGCAGACCAGATCTAAGCATCCCGAAGGCTGGATCTGACCCCCGGGCCTTCAGTTTGACACCCTTGTTCTAGCAGGCCAGATCTAAGCACCCCGCAGGCCATATCTGGGCCCTGGGCCTTTAGTTCGACACCCTTGCTCATAGTTTTTGCGTTTTGGAGAATGATGAAAACATATGTTTATGTGTTTTTGTGTGTTTCTTATCTAGGAAAAGCTATTTCCCATTACTGCCTCTCTGCCACTTTTTCCTGGCTACTGTTTTCCCTATGTTATCAAGGGTATTCAAATGGAATCTCTTCCGCCTGTAGCTTCATCCTCGCCCAGGAAAATATAACATGTCATCTGGCTACATTTATGTAGCCAGATGACTTTCATTAGCACAACAGGAGAGGAACTGATGGTTCTTAATTCTTAAGCCTGATTTAATTGATGTCAGAATCCAGAATTTATTTTCCAATTATTAGGCTTAAATTTGATTTCTTCTCTCTCTTTTTTTTCTTTCTCTTATTCTCATTGTGGAGCTTTTGATTTATTTTGTTATTTAGATGACTCTTGGAAATTCTTGGAGAAATGGCTATACATTTTATAGCGGGAATTCCTCTAAAAGTATCCTCTCTTTGAAGAGCTGTCCTGATCAATGTATTAAAAAATAAAAAGGGAGAAAGGCCATTTAAAGTGGTCCATCCATGTAGAATCTTTTTACTTACATTCCAGTGTAGCAATTATTTCTAAGTTTGTATCTACGAAATCCAAACCAAGGCTGCAAATGCAATTCTTTGGCTACTTTCATGACACTTCTTCTCGAAAGCCATTTTCAGCTTTTTGATTTTAAGAAATGCAGTTCTATGAAGAGATAGAACAGAAAAGACATTGTTGTGGATTTTTGTCTTTGACGGGCATAGCTGTAATAGGAAGGCAGTTTATGGTAAATGAAAAGATAGCTCCCAAGCTAAACATACAGTATATCCTCAAATATCCTTTTAGTTTGCTTGTAATGGGCATTTGGACTCTTTGTGGACATCTAGATTATTTATGGGCATGAGCCATAAATAATAAATAAATAAATTTATTATTTTAGGAAGGGAGGGAGGGAAGGAGGGAATTGCAGAGTTGAAAACCTTGGAGGTCTTCTAGTCCAACATCCTGTTCAAGTAGGAGATCCTATACCATTCTGGACAAATGACTGTCCAATCTCTTCTTAAAAACCTCAGAGTGATGGAGCACACACAACTTCTGAAGACAACCCATTCCACCAGTTAATTGTTCCCACCATCAGGAAATTTCTCCTTACATCTAGGAGTTCTTAATTCTCCCTGTAGCTAGTGTCGAAGTAGATTTTAAATGTAAGGGAGGGTGCTCTTTAGATATAGTTTGTAATCCACAGATATATTTGAAAAATGATAGATGAATAAAAGCTAAAAGAATCTCAGCTGAAAAGAAAAAAAATGTATATCTTGGAGAGAGAAAAAAATGCTTTTTCATTTTGCAATTATATCTTTGAAAGTATGCACAGTTAATGGCAAAAGAACTATACAATTGATATTGAAAAATTAAAAAGGAGCTCAATTGAAATAGGGAAAAGAAAAAGATAATAAATGTAGAATTTCTGTGATTTGTCTCCTATCTGTTCAGCATAACAAAGGAAAGGGCTCCTTTCTTTCCAACAGAGTTGTGACAGCCGTGCTACTCAGCTGAACTCAGAATAAACTTTGCATCCAAGTAAAACTTTGTTTTCCACAAAGTCTTCTCTTTTCTTCTCTCCAAGTCCAGTCTTTTCTCTATTCACTCGTTTTCCTATTTCACTCGTTTTCCTGTGGGTGAAATTCTGTGTTTGTTTAGAGTTGGGCTTTTTAAAAAAGCTTTTGAAGAGATTATTTCCGGTCATCAGTGATGAGAGACATTGTTATCCCTCTGCTCCCGTGATTGCAGGAAGTATAGAAGGAAGGGGGAGGAGAGAGGGAGGGAAGGAAGGAGGAAAGGAAGGAAAGATTATGAAGTTGGTATAGAATTTATGGACCTGTTATTATACCTCCTAGACTCCATTTTCATTGGCAGAGGGTTGCAGGAGGCCATCGCAGCTGAAAACAGACTTCACAAGGACTGTGTGCAGCCCTCCTGGACACCGTTTTTGCTGGCAGAGAGTTGCAGGAGGCTGTTGCAGCTGGAAATGAAGCTCGGGAGCTCGTTTTCACTGACAGAGCTCATGGGCCACCAAAGGCGTCCCCAACATGAGTGACGTTGAACATGAGTGATGTTGAGCACCATCCTGGCCATGCCCCCCCACCCCCAAGGTCAAAACCAACCTTGATGTGGCCCTCAATGAAATTGTGTTAGACACCCCCGGACTACACCAACAAGGAATATGATGAAAATATATATATAAGAAGCCTTAGCCTAATAATATTCAATACAAATTTTAAAAGCCAGCCTCTCGGCCTCTAAAATGTGCCTCAAATCATTCTCAAAACAGTCCTTTGCTAGCATGGATCTCAAAGTATGGCGTGGAAGGTAAGATGACTCTATGCTTCTGCAGCAATAACCTGGGGCCTGTCCCTGACATGATTAGTTCACTCTTGCCGGGAGTGTCTGCAAAGTCCAGGAAAACTGACAAATTATATTCATCCTGTCCTCCTTTTGGCATAAATATTCCACCAAGGCAACAGAGTCCTCAGATCCAAGTCTGAAAACAGACAAAAATGTCCCACAAAATCAATGTCTTTTCAAAGCTCGCATTCAGCAATCAGTGTGTCTTCTTTTCAGGAAAACCAGAGAGATATCAAAAAGTAGCATGATCTGTCAGGGAAATTGTGGGTTTATGAAAGATAATTGTGGTTAAGGTTTGTGGTTCAGTTTGAAGCCAGTACTATAACGTTTGTGATTCTTCTTTTTTAAGAGTAAGACCAGGCAGCTCTGAAAACTACGGAATCTATTTTAAAACATAATGGGAGATCTGGACAGCCTGTAGTATTCATTCATTTATTTATTCATTATTAATTTTAATTTATGGACATGGATCAGCATAGGCAGGAGCCCTGTTGAAACCAATGGTAGAATTGCATTCTTTAGTAGTTGAATTGAAAATGAACCAAAAAACCCCCAAAGAAACCCAGATGCAGAAATTGTGTGTACTCAATCACCAGAGGTCTTCAAGAAAAGACTGGACAATCATTTGTCCAGGATGGAATAATAATTTGGCAGGGGGTTGGACTAGAAGACCTTTAAAGCCTCTTCCAACCCTATGATTCTAAGAGAAAATGACTTCCTCATTAATAAAACATTCAGAAGGGCTAGGTAATTTTTTTTAATATGTGATGACCATCACACATCCACATATTTGGCAACAATTCAACAAAGCTGCTAACTTCAGAAAAATCATTAAACATTTAGTATACAATACGATTAACATTTGGTGATATATAATTAAGTAGGTTTCTTCCAGTACTTTTATACAAGCACTGTTTTACCATATTTTTCGGACTATAAGACACACTGGAGTATAAGATGCATCAAGATTTTAAAGAGGTTGATTTTTAAAAAAAGGTTTTGCATTCTGTGAAAAACAGGGCATGCATAGGCTTTGGGAGGCTTATAGGGTGGTCTTGGGAGCTGGGGGACAAACACGAGCAAAATATGGTCCATTTTTGTCTTCATTATCTCTTTTTTTGCTCATTTTTGCCCTCCCCAGCCCCCAGGAGCACTTTGCAGGCCTCTCAAACCCTCTGCATGTCCATTTTTGTGAACTGAGTGTGGTTTCAGGAGGCCAAAAGTGCTGTATTCAGTGTATAAGGTGCACCTAAATGTTTACCCCCCTTTGGGGGGGGGGGTGGAAGGTGCGTCTTATACTCTGAAAAATACGGTAATCAAAGTCAAATGACCAGGCCTAGACTGCTTGTTTTTGTCACTAAACTTGGTTTCAGTAACATACTTATCTTAAAATGGGCTGGAATAGGTGTGTTATTAAAAAATATCCTTTCCCGTTTTTTATTAAAAGGCCTTGGCTATATGTTTTGAAGATATATCCCAAGTTGCCATTTTTTATGCCACACAGACTGGAATGAGAATTAATCATCTCACCCATTGAAATTATGGGGTAGCTTAAAAAACATTTTGGTGGTAACTATTTAAACATTATATTCAATTTCTTCTTTACTGCAGATAAGCAAGTAAACCATGTCAGATGGACTGCTTGAGTATGTCCAATAAAGAGAGAGTAGCATCTTCCCCCCTCCAGGCAATTGCTTTTTCACCATTAAAGTGTTTCCCCCTAAGGTTCAGATGTCTACAGGATATGATTTAAAAAATCAAGATGGCAGCTGCACTCGCCAGTTAGCTAATCATATCCTATAGGCAACCCTATTTAGAAGCCGAGGTGGCGCAGTGG